GGAAAAATATATGCTGTTTTATGCTGAAGGAAAAGCCATTGCGTCATTGTATACAAATTAAGATATTGTATATTTTTTAAAATTTTGGTTTAAATTTACATGTATTGTACTTGTTTTCTCTATAAATTCAATAGACTCTGTCCGTCATTAAACAATTCTCATAAAAGATTCCTTCCTTGTAACTGCACACATACGAGTGTTCGTATTTCAATAAACTCTAGTAACCTGCAGTCACAAGGCTGACTCAGCAAAGTTTGCCTTCCTGCGTTCATGAACTTTGTTAAAAGTAACTGTTCTTTAGCCTGAGAGTGTTTCATGAAATTCTGTGGTTTGCAAGCACATGTATATCTTGATATTAAATGTTTGAATAGGTAATCACTTTATATGAATTTAAAGTGACTCTGTCAGCTCAAACTTACTTTCTTTTTTTTTCTCTTCTCATTGCCTTTCAAAATGTGTTCTTTTCTTTAAACATTATTTGTTTATGTATTTTCCTTCACTTGGCAACCTTGAAAAAGAATGAAGCTTAAAGGTACACTATAATCACCAAAACAAATTTAGCTTAATGAAGCAGCTTAGTGCATAGATCAAGCTCAATTTCTGCCATTTAGGAGTTAAATCATCTTTGTTTCTGCACATGCAGCCCTAGCCACACCTTCCCTGGCTGTGACTGACTCAGCCTGCATTAAAAAAATTGGATTCATTTAAAATCAGATGATAACTTGCTTTAAAAGTTTTTATCTCATGCTCTGTAAATTGAATTTTAATCACACACAGGAGGTGCCTGCAAGGTGCAGAATGCTATTAATAAATAGAGCAGGAGATGGGAATTTCTAAATTAAATAGACTGTGCAAAAACATTAGATCTCACTTTACATTAAATTTTTAGAAAGGCTTTGTAAGTCACATACACGGAGGTGTGACTAGGGCTGCCTGAACAAAGTGATTCAACTTCTAAATGGAAGAGGATTAAGCAATAAGACTGCAGGGAACTGAGCTATACACCAAAACTACTTTATTAAACTGAAGTTGTTTTGGTGACTATAATGTTCCTTTAAGGCAAGCTTCACCCTTTGTTAACTTGAGAAAGAAAATGAAGCTAGCTCTTTCTTCCCTTCCACAACCCCTTTGTCTCGTCTCCCTTTTCCCAGCCCCACTGTGTTTCTCTTTTTACTCTTCCCATCTGTGTCTCTTGTTCCCTTTTCCCAGCCCATCTCTGTATGTCTTTTATTGCCCTTCCCTAGCCACTCTGTGTTTCTGTTGTTTCCTCTTTCCCAGCTCCCCTGTGGCGTGTCTATTGTTCCCCTTTCTCAGTCTTTTTTTCTTCCCCCAGGCCCTCTGTGTGTCTCTTTTTTCTCCCCCTAGGTCCTCTGTGTTTCTCTCTCTCTCTTCCCCCAAAGCCCTCTTTGTGTCTATTTCTCCCCCAGGCCCTCTGTGTTCCCTCTGTGTATCTCTTTCTCCTCCCCCAGGCCCTCTGTGTGTCTCTTCCCCCACCCAAGCCCCTCTATGTGTCTCCCTCAATCTCCTCTGTGTGTCTCTTGTTCACCTTCCCAGCCCCTTCCCAGTGTGTCTCTTGTACCTCTTTCTAAGCCCCTCCATGTGTCTCTTTCTTCCCCTCAACCCCCTTTGTGCGACACTCTGCCTCTCTGTGTGTCTCTTTATACCCCCCAAGGCCCTCTGCATGTCTGTTTCTCCACCCTGGCTCTCTGTGGGTCTCTTCCTTCCCCTCCCCAGGCTCTCTGTGTTTTTGTCTTTTTTCCCCCCAGGCCCTCTGTGTGTCTCTTTATTCCCCCTTCCCCCCAATGTCCTCTGTGTGTCTCTTTCTCTTATATATATAATTTCAGGAAATATTACTTTACAGAGAGGGTAGTGGATGCATGGAATAGCCTTCCAGCTGAAGTGGTAGAGGTTAACACAGTGTGGGATAGGCATAAGGCTATTCTAGACTTAATATAAGGCCAGGGACTAATTAAAGTATTTAGAAAATCAGGCAGACTAGATGGGTCGAATGGTTCTTATCTGCCGTCACATTCTATGAAGCAACACTTACTGAGAAAACCCCTATTTTGTTGGTATGTTATTAAAGGGATACTACAGTCACCAAAATAACTTTGCTTAATGAAGCAGTTTGGGTGCAATCTCACTGCTTAACTCTCTGCCGTTTAGGTGTTAAATCACTGTGTTTATGCAGCCCAAGTCACACCTACATGCATGTGACTTACACAGTTTCCCCAAATACTTCCTATAAAGTGAGATCTAATGTCTACACTTCCTTTATTGCAAATTTAGAATTTCTTATCTCCTGCTCTGTTAATAGCTTGATAAGCCCTGCTGGAGCCTCCTGTATGTAACTAAAGTATAATGTACAGAGCAGGAGACAAAAACTTTTAAAGCAAGTTAACATCTGATTTAAAATTAAACCATTTTGTTTTCATGCAGGCTTTGTTTATAAATAATAAAATAATAATAATAGTGTGGCGAAACCAGCCTCGCCACTGTCCACTGGAGGAGCCTGGTTGCTCGCCTGCTCCCTTTAGATTATGGCCCGGCAGGTAAAACCTTTTATTTTCCCTGCAGAAAAGCGTATTCGTGCCTTTCTGCAGACTGT